TCATTCTGTCTCAGTTGTTTCACTTTCATTTTGTTCCTTAATGAAGGTATGAAACAACATTAGGGGAATCATATGTGTATGTGTTCATTAACTGCAACTATATATTTCAACAAATACAAGAGTCCGATCAAAATAAAAAGCACAAGTGTTTTGTGAACATCAATATGGTATATGAAATTTGTTGTAGGGGACACAACATTTTAATGATTTACATAAGAGGGTTCTTCAAATCGGTAAAAGATACATATATATGTAATAAGCATATTGCTGTGAACTGAATATAAGGACACTTACAATTTAGGAAGAAACTGGATTGGGGACTCAGGGTCAAGTGCCTGCTTTGCTGACATGAGATCCTTGACTCTGCCCCATTTGTATAGTGTCATCCCAGTCTCATAATCCATGTGCCCCATGGGTAAGCAGTCTATGGGGCACTACAACCAAGTATGTGCCCCTCACTCGTCACAAACAGAATCACCACAATGAACAGGAAAGGGGAAAATAATCATATTATAAAAGAAGAAAGTGGATTTATCCAACAGGGAGACCTAGAGTCACTAATAACATGGCTATAGTTTCTGTTTGTAATCAGACAGAGGCATCTTGGAGACTAGGAAGATGGCTGAGGGTCAAAGGCTCTGTCTCCCCATGCACCAGGAAGCGAGTTTGATCCATGGAATTATCTCACATGCTGAATTCAATGCAACATCACTGCTGTTGATGATCCCTGGCTCCATTAGCGAAAGTATTTGTACAATGAAAATGGGTATGAATTCCAGCACCCAACCTGGTGTGTCCAACTAAAGTGTCACGGCTCGCAAGTGTACAAACTTGATTCATCCCAAACAATAACATCAAGGAAAGTAAAGGGGGACAAAGAATAGTCTTTACAATAAAGGATTTTTAAGATAACGAGAAATTCTACATTAAGTAACTTTAATAATAGTGTGAAAGAAAAAGATTATATTGAAGCTTCTATTTCCTAAGTTATATGTCTTGGTCATCTTCTCCACAGCTTGCTTAACTCTTTATATACTACTAAAGTATATATGTTAGGCTGGATCAATAGCACAACAGGTAGGGCACTTGCCTTGCATACGTGTCTGATCCAAATACAATATTTGGTACCACATATGGCCCCGCCCCTCCGCCCCCTGAACCCTCCAGGAATGATCTCTGAGCTTGGAGCCAGGAGTAAGTTCTCAGTACTGCTGGGTGTGACCCCCAAACAAACAAAACAAAACAAAACAAAAAGTCTTGCTCTAGGGTTGGGGATGTAGCTCAGCAGTAGAGCACTTGCCTTGCATATGACAGACATAAAGTTTGATTCACAGCACCTCAAACAATAACAAGAAAAAGAGTCTTGTTCTTGATTTTGAGTATGATCATATATGCTGTAATTACTCTAACTTCCTCAAACTTAATGCCTGAAAGCTTCATAAATTCAAACTATTCACCTTATTAAAATAATTTATAAAACATTAGCAGGGGGAAAGAAAGACGGCGGCCGCACGGGAGCCTTGTGGACAGCAGGTTTGAGCCGGGGGCGGGGGGCAGCGGGGGCCTCATGGGAAGGGGGGCGTTTTGGGCCGTCCCTCACGCCCGACCGAGGTAACCGGCTGCCCCCCACCAGCGGCTCTCCGGCACGGCCACGGCCCCGGAGGCACAAGGACTTAGCACAGAGAACCAGCCGCTTGGAGCAGAAAAGCAAATGGACTTTGTGTTAAACCGCGCCACCAAGCCTGCCCGGAGGGGAAAGGGTGTTGACCGGCCCGCCCGCTCCTCTCTGGAAAGAAAGATGGCGGCCGCACGGGAGCCTTGTGGACAGCAGGTTTGAGCCGGGGGTGGGAGCGGCAGGGACCTCATGGGAAGGGGGGGGGGGGCGTTCTGGGCCGTCCTTCACGCCCGACCGAGGTCACCAGCTACCCCCCACGAGCGGCTCTCCGGCACGGCCACGACTCCAGAGCACAGAAACCAATCTCTTAACTATCTAACTTTTAATAGAAATACTTCCAGGGTTAATAAGTGAAACAGCAGAAATCCAAAACCGCGCGGCCACTATCGCGGCCGCGCGACATCATTTTATTCTTAAACCAAGCTGTAGAAAGCAAATCATTTCACAACACTGTTTCAGCATATCTGATTGGGGGGGGGGGGTCGTAAACTCTAAACAATAATTGTGTATCTTCTATCGAAACAATGTATCTAGTCAAAGTAGATAGAGTATTAACTAGAACTCATCTGCCTCACAGGAATTGGGAGGGGTGGGAGGTGGGGTTCTATTGGGGTTCACGGTTAAAAATAAGTATTGGAAAAGGGAAATGTGTTTGATACTTACATGACTGAGACCTAAACCTGAAAGCTCTGTAACTTTTCCCACAGTGATTCAATAAAGAAATAAACTATTAAAAAAAAATAAAGTAAAAGTTTTGAAGTTAAAAAAAAACATTAGCAGGGTTTTTTTTTTGTCACAAAATTAGATGTATTGTGAAAATGTAGTCTGGCAAAACTAAAGGGGCTGGAGAGTCAGTACAGAGAGTAAGGGGGTTGCCTTGTTTCTAGCCAACCCAGTTCAATCCCTCCTACCACATGTGGTTCCCCCTGAGAACCACCACGGGGCACTCCTGAGCACAGAACCAGAAATAGCTCCTGAGCAACTCTGGGTATGGCCCCAAACTCAAAAAGTGAGACAGAGACAGCGACTGGCTAAGCTTTCTCTTTTCCCTCCTTCACTTCACATATATACCTACCAGGGAAAGAACTTGGGAGCATACAGTGAAATGAAGATCATGTACAAGTCAAAAAGAGAGGTCTCAGACTGAAGCCTGCATTCATTGCCAGCACTGATTCTTGGACTTACCAGCCTTCAATACTGTGAGAAATGCATTTTTTATTTAATCACCCAGCCAACAGTATTTCATTACAGCTGTTCAAGTGCATGCATGCTCTCTCTCTCTCTCTCTCTCTCTCTCTCTCTCTCTCTCTCTCTCTCTTTCTCTTCTCTCTCTCTTTCTCTCTCTAGTTATTGGTGCTGTAAATGATACGTGAATCATGCAAAGCAGGTGGCATTTTAGCTTAGCTAGGGGAAAGGTAATCTAAGCTGAAGAACTTGCAGTCCTGAATGTGGTTAGTGGCCACAGAAAAACACAAATTGGGATGTGATTCAGTGATAGAGCACTTGTCTTGCCAGTGTGAGATCCTAGATTTGATTCCAGTATCCTCCAACCCCTCCCTGACACCCTCCCCAACACACACACAATTTGGAGGACCCAAGAGATGACTTCTGAGCACCACTGCAAGTGGGCACAAAACCACAAATATACAGAGAAAAGGAAAGGAAAAATAAGTTTACAAGAGAGCACCATTTGCTTGATCTGCTATTATGACTAGTGCCAGCAGTACTGATTAGCACCAAGGATATTGATTAAAATCCCTCATCAGAGAGCCAGGGACAGTGGCTCATGGTTTTCTTTCTTTCTTTCTTTCTTTCTTTCTTTTTCTTTCTTTCTTTCTTTTCTTTTTTTTTTTTTTGCTTTTGGGTCACATCTGGTAATGCACAGGGGTTACTCCTGGCTCATGCACTCAGGAATTACTCCTGGCGGTGCTTGGGGGACCATATGGGATCCTGGGAATTGAACCTGGGTCGGCCGTGTGCAAGGCAAACACCCTACCCGCTGTGCTATCGCTCCAGTCCCGGTTCACGGTTTTCAAGTGGGGTCTGCAGCACTATATATGTTTTGTCAGTTTTTTTCATAACCCGCTTAGAATTTGTTCTCAATCAACTATTTTAATTCTCCCTTTTTCACAGTTCTTCAGATTTCCAAAGATGATCTAACCTCCCAATCCAAGTGAGTCACCAAATCTTGGATGGCTTCTTCAAGTCATCTCTTCTCCCACAATCTCAGAACTGCCTCAGTTCAAGAATTTCATTACTTTTCTCCTTTATGTATGTAATGGCTTCAATACATCATTTAATAATCTGGCTTCTTTGCTTACACCTTGATCATGTTGTCTCTGCTCAGAATAGTCTTTCTATATATCAGGATGTCACATTTCTGCTAAAAAAAGTCCTTTGGGGGCTGGAAGAAGAGTATAGGGTTATTGAGGCACTTCGATTGGCTAATACAGCTCAATCACTAGCACCATACTGTTCCAAAGCCCTGCTGGGAGAGACCTAACCCTGAGCACAGAACAAGCTGTAGACCCCCAAGGACCTGAGGGTGTGAGCTACATCCTCCCCTCCCCAAACTGTACCCTGTTTTTCTGGTTTCAGGTTGAAGTTCAGAGCCTTCCCTCAGTACACCTGCCTCCCTCTCCAATCTAGACATTTTGCTGGCACGTCATTCTGACCATATTGATGAGGTCCTGTTGCCCAAGGCGTTCTGTTCTTCTACCTTGAATCCCCTCCTCAGTTTGGCCAACTTCTCCTCAAAGCTTAGAGCCAGAATTCCTTTTTTCCACGAAATCTGCCTTGATCTCATATGATCTAGACCTCCTTCTACATATGTCTGTGGTTAACTGGCTCTCTATCTATATTATACAATTACTGAACTGACATTTCTATTTCCTTGTCTGTTCCACTTGCAGTCTGTGTCACCTTCATCTTTCAATCCTCCATGCCCAGCACGACGTCTATCACATAACAGATTCATTAGGGGCTGAGGGAAATAATTTTAGAAACGAACACTATCGGTCTTGCTCAGCTGGAGAAAACGGCAGGCTTTTCTAGACTTCTGCATGATAGAGTCGGGAAAGTTTGTCGTTTGAACACAGGCAAGACAGGAAGACCATCAGTGAGACAGAGATAAAGAGGAAACTGGCGGGCCAATTTTGAATCGAGGAAGTCAATTGAAGTGCGGGGGGGGGGGGGGGGGGGGGGGCGGGGCGGGGGTAACCTCAGGAGGGAAAGAACTACATTTCCCGTGATGCCTCGGGACACTGGGCCCGCCTCCTGGTCGCGGCCTCTTCCGGGACCAAAGTGCCAGGAGTACTTCCGGGTCGCGCCTTAACCCGGAGCGGGCGGCATTGGCTCGGCCCCGCGAGCCTCGCTCCGAAGCTCCTCCTCCGTTCCGGTCTTTCTAGAAACTCATCTTTGCTCCCGACCGCGCCGGACAGGTACTTCCCGGCCCCCGTGAGCACCCCGGGGAGAAGAGGGCTGCCTTGGGACGGTCGGGTGGGCTCCCCGCGGAGGCTGGAGCGCCCGGAGGGGGACCCCGGCGCTGACAGCACCCCCGTCATTCTTTCTTTCTTTTCTTCTTTTCTTTCTTTCTCCTTTCCGCTTGCAGCGTCCCCGGCGCTCGCGAATCCCGGATGGCGGATACGACCCCGAACGGCCCGCAGGGGGCCGGCGCCGTGGTGAGTGAGCGCGGGGTCCGCGTCGGGACGGGGCGGGGGGCGCTCGCAGGCTGGGGCCGGGCGCTCGGTGCGTGCGGCGGCCCGGCCGGGTGCAGGGACCGGAGCGCGGGCGAGGCTCCCGGTGCAGGTCCCCGAGGCTGCACCTGGCCGCCTACCTGTGCCCACGGCGACGGAACCGCCTCCTCCTCCTGCCCGGCTCCCCGGTGCCCAGGTGGAATGTGCCCCCGGAGCCGGCGAGGCGGCATCGCGCCTCCTTCCGCAGCGGCGTGTGCAGGCGGAGACGGTGTCGAAGGGCTTTCTAGAAACTCAGCTTCGCTCCGGACCGTGCCGGGCTCGGTATTTCCCGGCCCCTGTGGTGCGGGTACCCCCCCCTCCCCCGGGAATTATGTAAAAATTTACGAAAAACGGAGTGATCAGTTTTTTTTTTTTTTAACTCCTTTCGTCATTTTGCCTCTTCTTGTGAAAAGCAATAGACGCTCCTGTACATTCTCCCGCCCCCCCCCCCCCCCCCTTTATTCCTAAGATGCAAATCTCCGGCTTTTGTGGGCTAAGCATTGTTGCCTCTTTTCAGGAAACACTATGGCCAGGTTGTGAGTTCAGCGGGAAGCTTTTCTTTTTGAGCATTTTTTTTTTGTAGTATCTATTCTGGACACACTTTTTTTGTGTGTTTTGCTGAACCGTTGGAGAGTTTGTTTGTATGCATCATTTGAACCTGTCAAATTCTTAAGTGTTCTACAGGACCATAATGCAGCCATTAGTCTTTGTTGTTAAATTGGGGAAATTAACAGTGAGTCACGTTTCTAATAATACAGTCCGTGTTCAGATTTCATCAGTTGCATCTTAAGGTTGTTCCTTCTTATTCTGGAGATTCCGTCAAAAAGCATGCATGGTGGTACCACAGTGGTAGAACAGCGGATAGAGCACTTGTCTTGCATACAGCTGACCTGGATAGTTCCCCCCACTCTCTATATGGTCCCAAGCCCTGCCAGGAGTGATGCTTGAGATTAGAATCAGGGGTAAGCCTTGACCACCACCAGGTGTGACCAAAAAAAACCCAAACATGCATGCTGTCTTTGGTTTCTTTCAGTCTAGACCAAGTTTCCTTGTTATAATGTTCTTTATATTGGAGTCTGGGGGGGCTTTTATTTTTTCTGATGGCTAGAATTCTGGTGACTAGAATTAAGTTAAACATTTAACATGAACAATTGCACAAGTGATACTCTGCTTCTCAGTGCATTGTTTGTCAGAAAGCATTTTGTGTTCAGTTCTACCATCACTATAGGTGTCGGACTTGGTGATTTGGTTTAATGATGTCCCTCAGGTTCTCCTCCTCACCCACTGTGATATCTGTGGTGTGATAATTTGAGGTGCTAAATAGCTTCTCACACAGATATTCATTGTTACTTTTTGCCTAAACTATTTATGGCATGCTGGGCATTTGACTCTTAGAATGTAAACACTTTTAAAAACCTTTTTTATTGTATAACGAAATATATATCCATAAAAGTGTACAAAATGAAATGCGTAGCTCAGTGATTTATCACAAAGTGAAGACCCCAAACAAAATACCCTTGAATTTTTATTTAATTTTTATTTTTGGGTCACACTTGATGCTCAGGGCCTCCACTCTGAGGAATCACTCCTGGCGGTGCCAGGGATCAAACCCAGGTCTACCCCACCTTCTTATTATCTCTCCAGCCCCACCATTGAATATTTAGATGTACTTGGGTCCCTCCCACAAAGTTTCTAAAACTTTGAAAATGGTTAGTGTCTTTTTTTTTCCAAAGATAGATTTCATAATATAGTTGGAGGGGCGTTGGTTGTTTTTTTTTTTTAATTGCATCTCCATGAGATACACAGTTACAAAGTTGTTCATGATTGTGTTTCAGTGATACAAGTTTCAATACCCACCCCTTAACCAGTGTATGTTTCCCCTATTCCCCCCGTGGTAGTCTTTCTCTCCCTCTCTCTTCCCCCTCTCTCTCCCTCTCCCCCCTCCCTCTCCCCCAAAGGATAGTAATGCTTTAAGAAGTTTTTGCTTGATCTGAGTGTTGGGGTAAAAAATCCCAAATAATGTGGGTCTGGTGTCAAAATATTGAATGTAATCAAAGTAGAGCGAGAGTAATGTGGAAATCATCTGCCCCACAGGTAGGGGGAGGGTGTTGGATGGGGGTATACTGGGGTTTTTGGGAGTGGAAAATGGGCACTGGTGAAGGTACAGGTGTTTCATTGTATGACCGAGACTTAAACCCGAAAGCTTTGTAACTGTTCTCATGGTGATTCAATAAATAAAATTATAAAAAATGAAAAAAAAAAGTTTTTGCTTATATCCCCACATGTATTGATACTGGGTTTGATGTAAAGGGAGGAAAATGTGATTTATAAAAATAATTTGGGGGGAAGCATTCCCAGCTCTATGCTTGGGGGGTGGGTGTCACTCCAAGTACTGGGAGGACCATGAACCAATGTGGGGCCATCGATTAAACCTGGGTCTGCAACATACCAGACTCACCTCTGACCCTGTACGGTCTCTTTGGCTCTGAGTCTTATTCTTATAGATCCTATTCGATATATGGACCACTGTACAAGTTGAGCATGAGATACATTTTGACAGAATTGGCTATTGTGTTTGTGGTAACGGACCCATTCTTTGGCCAAAAAGCAGCAAAGGAAGTGCCAGAATGAGAAGAAAGGGTACGTGGAGGTATAGTTAGAATCCCTGAAACTAGGCTAAGACTGTGGAGAGGCGCATTTCAAAGTGAAGAATAAGGTAAGTATCCCGGAGGCAGGTGCCTTTTGACTCCTGACAGCCGGATATTGAGCACTTACAGTGTATCTGGTCCTGTGTGTGGACAGTCATCTGTAGGCCAACGAGTTCATTAGTGAGTGACTAATACTGTGGTTTCACGGTTCTTCATTGTGAAGGAATTTATTTGATGTTTTTCAGTTATTTTTTTTTCCCCCTTTCTCTCTGGTGGGATTGAACCCAGGGCCCTTGCAGCGCCTGTGCCCTACCACTTGGTCCATGTCAAAAAGGGACCAGGAGTCTTTTTTACTCAGATCTAAGACTTACCTATTTGAATTTGAGACTTTTCTAAGAATAGATATTTCAGTACTCTTGAGAGCAATTAGTTCCTATTTAGCACTCTTTATAATAGGTGAAGCTAGTATTACAAGTGTTAAAGGAATATAGACAATCATAAATTCTCAGATTATTTTTTCCCCAGATTCATTTTTTTGTTAATGCCAACTGGTATTTTTTTCTCTGTAAGTACCTCGCATGCTTTCTACTTTCCCAAACAATAAGGTGCTTGGATCTGTCCTGAATACCTACATGAACTGTTGACTTTACAGTGTCCACTTACCCTGAGCGCTTGCCAGGTGTGGCCCTAACTTCCCACCCTCATTTTTTTTTCCCCTTAATGATCCTTTTGGGGGGAAAAAGTTACTAGTTATTGAAACGTGAATAAGAATAAGACTACATGATCTTATGCTTTAAAATGGTTTGCAGGCCTAGTTTACAAAGTTTTTTCTTTTCCAACTTAGCAATTCATGATGACCAACAAACTGGACACGGCAATGTGGCTCTCTCGCCTGTTCACTGTTTACTGCTCTGCTTTGTTTGTTCTGCCTCTTCTTGGGTATGTATTATGTGTCTTTAAGTGTGTTAGTGTGTACTTTCCATTGAACATGTGGGGGGAATGGATGTGCAGGGATGGGATGAGCCCTTTGAGTTTGTGTTGTTCCATTGCTTTAGAAAATCCAATTGGGTATTTATAGGAAGTGATGCTTCTAAGACGGTGTAGTCTCAAGTCATTTTTTTTCTTTTGCTAAGTAATAGATTTAGGTGTTGTGCAATTATGATGCAATTCACAAAGGAGGAAGAAATGTGGTAGTTGTTTGTCTCCTGATAACCTCTCCTCTGGCAATTTGCAGGTTGCACGAAGCGGCAAGCTTTTACCAGCGGGCTTTGCTGGCAAATGCTCTTACCAGTGCTCTGAGGCTGCACCAGAGATTACCGCACTTCCAGCTCAGCAGAGCATTCCTGGCCCAGGCCTTGTTAGAAGACAGCTGCCACTACCTGTTGTATTCACTCATCTTTGTCAACTCCTACCCTGTTACAAGTATCCTTTTGCACCTTCAGAAGTGGAATAGCCTGCCAAGCATTGAGCCTCTCACTTTTGGCTGTTGGGAGGACTCAGTAGTGAAGCAGGGCACGAAAAAGCCTGGGTGGTGGTTTGGCATTTCGCTTTCATCAGGGTATATTTAGTTTGACATTTCTGGCTTGAAAGTGTAAAATCAGAGTTTTGTAGAACTCATGAGGGTATTTTCTTACCATTGTGTGCGTGTGTTTTGGGACTACACTGCTAGGGGGTGGGGCCAGGGGCATGCACACAGACGGATCACTCCCCAGGGTGCTTGGTGGTGCCAGGGATTGAACCAGGCCTCCAGCATGCAAAGCACACACTCAGCCCCCAAAGGTCTCTCTCTCTCTCTCTCTCTGACTCTGGTAAGGGAGTTTTATTTTTATTTGATTATTTTGGCTTGGGGGTCACTTATGGCAGTGCGTTGGGGGGGGGTCATTTGCAAGAGTGCTAGAGACCAAGACATATGTGTGTGCTGAGGATCTTACCAGGACTGGCCATGTGCATGGGAAGCACCTTAGCGCCCCTGCACACTCTGTCCCTTCAGTAAGACTGTCTAAACTTAATATGTTCATTCTTACCTCTGGTAGAGTTTCCAGCAGCAGTGATTATTTTAAAATTCAGATTCAATGTTTAGACTTGTGGGGGAATTATTTTAATATTTACTCTTTTCTTTACAGTCTTCTTTATTGTAGGACCTTCATTATGCTAATACACATTATGAGGCTAGCAGGAATTTTCCTAATCTTGTCAGTTCAAGACCCAAACCCCTGGGTTGTAGATCATCCTCAAAATTTTTGGTTTTATTTTGGGGCCATACCTAGCAGTGCACGGGTATCACTTCTGGGGTTGCTTAGGTGGTACTGGGGATTGAACCGGGGTTAGCCGCATGTAAGTCTAGTGACCTACCTGCTGTACTATATCTTTGGACCCTAGAAAAAGTATTTTTTGAATTTAGGCGGTAGTGCTCTTAGGAGTTCTTGAGGGGCTGGGAAGGTGGCTCAGAGCTGAAGTAGAGCATGTGGCAGGCCCAGGTTCATTCCCCGACACTGCTTGATCTCCAGAGCACTGCTAGGTATGGCTCCAAAATAAATATGAAGGTTTTTAAGGTCAGAGATGTGGCTTAGTGGTTGAGTACCTGCCTTATATGTGTGAGGCCCTGGGTTCAATCCCGTGCACCACACAATACATGAAAGGTTTTGAATATTTAAGACACAACTATACTTAATGGGAAGCACTAAAGCAATGTCTAAGACATACTTCCTTATTGAGAGATTTTCTATGTGTTATATCAGACTTTTATAAGTCTTGGGGAAAAGAAAAAAGGAGAAAGTAACATTTTTTGTCACAAATCTTGAGAGTGTATCTGAATGGGACATACCACATCCTGGCCATACCCTGAGGAAAAATACCATATATCTCATATTATGTATTGAAGCTCAATACCCCTACCACTGCACTCTTGGGCTTTTGCATTGAACCTGGCCTAGTGGCCGAGAATTGCTAGGAACTCTGCCTGGGAGATGACCAAAGTTGAAAAGATGCCCCCCAAAGTTGAAAATTGCTTCCCTGATGTCACATTGGTTAATAAGTAGTAATGCCGGCAAGTAGTGATGTCTGGCCTGAAAGGTATATCTAATCTAGAGTGTGAACAGATACACAGCTTCTTATTAGTTTAGAAATAATTCTGTCTGTCCTTGTACACATAATAGATATGGAGACCCTGGTTTTGTTGTTTGTTTGCGCACCGGCAGTGCTTGATAGCCATACCTAGTAGTGTCAGGGTGCATATCTGTAGAGAAAGAAGTAGGAATGGTAGAAACTGTATTTTTCAGATAATATAAAATTAACCAGTTACATCGGTAACCAGTTATATACTGACCTTGGGGTCAGTATGTGCCCAGAGCAGGTAGTAAGTTTAGTTACTTCTGATGGTGCTAAATGAAACTTGTGACTTAGAAGTATTTACCTCTAGTATTTCTATGTACGTGGTTATTTGCAAGCCCTTTTCTATGGAAAAGATTACTTATTATATTCTTAAGGGAGGGGAGTAGGGAACCAGAGGAATAATAGTATCTGGTAGTTATCAAATGCTCATTGGACTCCTAAGATAGCGGGATAGTATGTTCTTAAATAAAACGGTGAGCTTTCTGTCATTTTACACATTCCTTTGCTATCTGCAATGGTGATATCTTGTATTTAGCAGTGACAGGTACCGAGGGTTTAAATTGTAGATTTTTTACCTATATTTTTTATCTAAACAGTTTAAAGGTGACATTTAGGGACCAGAGAAAACAGGTGAGGTTCTCACTTTGCATGCGGCCAACTGGGAAACAATCCCTGCCACCACATATGATCCCCAAACTTGCCAGGCGTGGTCCCTGAGAGCAGAGCCAGATATGACCCAAAAAACAAAAACTAAAAGGTGACATTAAAAGCTAACACTGGAGCAATAGTACAGCAGTTAGGGCGTTTGCCTTGCACGCAGCTGACCCGGGTTCGATTCCCAGCATCCCACATGGTCCTCTGAGCACCGCCAGGTGTAATTCCTGAGTGTATGAGCCAGGAGTAACCCCCGTGCATTGCCGGGTGAGACCCAAAAAAAAAAGGAAAAAGCTAATACTGTCTAGTTCAAGCCTTTGGAGAAGTTTGTAGCTTCATTAATTTGAAAGGGATCTAGTAGTCATTTAAAAAGTAAATCAAAAATAAATAATTGAAAGTGTAAAGCTGTTATAGGTAGTGTGTGTTTGTGTATGTGTGTGTACATAGAGGAAATTGGCATTTTACTTCATTTTTATGAGTGACAGAATAGTTACTATCTTATTGGCATCTTGAGTTGAATATTAAGAACCTATGGGCCTTAAAATAGGATTGCAGTGAATTTAGTATTCAGAACTACTTGATATTACCCTGGCTGAAGAAATTGGGGTGAATGAGGTCTTCTGGGAAATTTTCATTTTTTTTTTAGAAAGCTGAATTTAAAATTTTACATCCATAGAACTTTGAAGTTTTTAGTTGGTAGCATATAAACCCAAACATACACATTTTTTTTTAATATTTGCAAATTAAAACAGATTACCCACTTGATAGGTGCAGTGTTTGTGTCCCTCACTAGTAAATGAGAAAGGCTCTTTGGTGGTGGGCTCTATCTTGCAGGCAAGAAGCCCTGACTTCCTGTTCCACCAGCTGTAGCCCTGAGGGGCACCCAGGACCAGTAGGGAGGTCATTCCCCCATCCCCCACTTCCTCCTGAAAAAAAAAAAATCTTTAGTGGAAAATTTGGAAACTACCCTCTACACTATTACCCAGATTCTTTCCTAAGCATTGATATGATGAAAGCACCCCAGAAAGATTATTTGTATTTGAAGGTTAAACTGTTTTGGCCAGAATGGCATTTGTGGGTTTTTTTCAGTATTTTCTTCATAAAAAGGACAGCAAGTTCTAGAAAATAAAATATTTTACCTTTCTATAGATTAAAGAAGTGAACTTTATTTGGTTGCTAAGTTTATAGTAAAACAAAAGCCATCTGAAAAACAACTCATCTTGGTAGATAGCCACTTTAGATCTGTTTGGACATGATCTGGTCTGTTTTGCAAAGTTACTTCGTGCTTTTTCCATATTTTCCTTGATCGTTCTCTTCAGTGAGTATTTTCCCAGTCTTGCTGTTCTCTTTGCTTCACGCGGCTACATACACGAAAAAGGTCCTTGATGTAAGTAAAAGCTGTGCTTTTTTTAAAATTATTTTTTAAACACACAGTTGACTTGCACTTGAATTCTAAAAGATTTTGGCATTTGTTACAAAGGTTCTATTTTTTATGAACTGCTACCTTATTTAGTGATTTGAAAAGTTTTAAGTTTGGAATTTTGAATATTTTAGTGATAATTTTGCAAAGTATATTTTATAGATAAAAGATTATGCTTGAAATTGTCCTGATTCCCAAAGGAAATTTTGAAGTTTAAAATAGATCTTTCCGTTTTGTTTTTTTTTTTTTTTTTTAAAAAACTAATCCAACCTTTTAGATTTGATAAGTTGTCAGAGATCTTTTGTTCTGTCAGTGTTTAATTCTATTATCAGGTAAGTAAAATGTACTGAGTTTCTTTTAGACTGATACTCAGAATTGCCGCTTCGTAAAATTTATTCCCCGGGAATATTCAGCCTAACTTCATTCTGCTGGGAAGATTGATTGCATGTGTGCTGATACTGGAATAAAAATTGCCAATTTTCTCCTGTATAGTGAGCTTTTGCTTTTCGTCTACAGTTCTTTGGTGAAAGCTTAATTTTTTTTTTACCTTTAGTTTACCTCCAATTTTTACCTTTAGTTAACTAGGAGGTCACAAATACTTCATCTCTGTTACTGGGTAAGAAGCATCTTATTTTGGCTGGAGAAAAATAACTTTTTTTTTTTTTGCTTTTTGGGTCACACCCAGTGATGCACAGGGGCTACTCCTGGCTCTGCACTCAGGAACTACCCCTGGTGGTGCTCAGGAGACCATATGGGATGCTGGGAATTGAACCCGGGTCGGTCGTGTGCAAGACAAACGCCCTACCCGCTGTGCTATCACTCCAGCCCCAAGTTGGTTTTGTTTTTGATTCTTCAAACTCTCAAAGTAGAATAAGGCAGGTAACCGTGCTAACTTGAGTCCTTAAGTAGTTTATGAACTTTTATATCATTTCTAAATAATTGTCCTTTGGCTCTATTATTTGTGGGACAGGCTGGTCATCTAAAAAAGATTGAGGGACCAAAACGCTTTCTTCTGATGATTTTTTCTTATGTTTCAGGCAAAGGGTTCAAATAGTTTACCTCTACTGAGATCTGTCTTGGATAAATTAAGTGCTAATCAACAAAATATCCTGAAATTCATTGCATGTAATGAAATATTCTTGATGCCTGCTACAGTCTTTATGCTTTTTAGGTAAGAGTAAAAATATATTGTCTGGGGTGACTAATGACGTAAGTGAACGTGTTAAACGTATTAACTTGAATTTTATGCTGCTTAAATCTGTACAGGTGTAGTTCAAGTATAGATAAGCATAGCTAGATAGATCGTAGCAGTTCTTTCACTTTATAGCAAGAAGAGAACATGTGCTCTTAAACTTAGGAACTTATTTATTTCTTCGAAGTATCGTCATTTCTGCTGTTATTGGGAGTTCTTTTCTCAACACAGAGAAAAACTTACAATTCTTAAAAATTATGGTCATATTAGTAATTGCCTTTACCTGTCCGTTTTTATTTTGGCTTGGTTTGGTTTTGGGTCTACAGCAGCGATGCTCAGGGGCTACTCCTGGCTTAGTGCTTGGGAGGTTGTTCCTGGCAGTGGTAGAAAACCATGCACTGTTGGAGAGAATATGGGGCTTCTAAAACTTGGGCAGTAGCCCTCAGTCCCCCTCCCTGACCCTGACTGCCTCCATATTTTTTTGTATTTTAATTATGGAAGCAATGTGTGAATAAAGAAAACCTTTTAAAATATTAGAACGTTTAGCTAGTACTGCTTGGTTACCAATATCTCTAAGTTTCAGAATTGTGTTTCTAACCAAATTATTTGGGCTTTTTAAATTTTAGTTTCACTAGTACTACCACATTGCAGAAAAAGCTAAATTAATTGATTAGGAATCCTAGTTGCAATTTTGTCCTTTCTTCTAGGAGTTAATTAAGGTGCTCAATATGGATACAAAAGTATTTTTTTTGTTGTTGTTGTTTTTTAATCAAACCATGCTACACTCAGGGCTTACTCCTAGGCCAGTTTGGGAGATCATATGTGTTGTGGAGAATTGAACCCGGGTTGCCTGCATGCAAGGCAAGCACCCTACCCATTGTGTAGTTACCTATGTGTAGTCTTTTACAAGTCCTCATACAAGGGCCAGACACAAACTTCAGAAAGCCAGAGCACACCTTCCCAGGAGGAGCCCCAGCACCACCTGGTCCTCGCAGAGACCATGGAGCAGTGAGCAGAAACAGTCCTGGAGCACTTCTGGGCATGACCCAGAAACCAAAACAGCAAAACCTATGTAGAAAATACATGGCGGGGGGGGGGGGTGGTGGTGGTGTAGATTTTGTTTCTTTCCATTTTATGTTTGTTTGTTTTCATTTTTCTTTTTTTCTTTTTTTTTTTTTTTTTGCTTTTTGGGTCACACCCGGCGATGCTCAGGGGTTACTCCTGGCTCATGCACTCAGGAATCACTCCTGGCGGTGCTCGGGGGACCATATGGGATGCTGGGAATCGAATCTGTATCAGCCATCTTGGCTGCGTGCAAGGCAAACGCCCTACCCGCTGTGCTGTCGCTCCAGCCCTGTTTGTTTGTTTTCTTGTAAATCCAATATACTCTGTTATAACACATCAGTTGTTTACTTTTTTTTTTCACCCATAGTGTGTTTCCATGACCCAGTCATGTTGACACACACAGTTCTTTTTTTTTTTTTAATTTATATAGAACCTGGAGTAGGCTTTTGAGTACTGCTGATGTGACCCCCAAACAAGCCTTTAATCTCTGTCCGCTGTCAAGAAAATAAAAGCAGTTCCAGCTCTGTAACAGTATTCAGGGATCACTCCCAGCGAGTGCTACTTGGGGTGGGGGGTTGGGGAGGCAGGTGATGCCAGGGATGGAACCTGAGGCTCCTGAATATAAAGCTTATGCTCCAGCCTTTTGAGCTGTCTTCCAGACCCCAGCGTTTTACTCTAGCAATAGTTATTGCTAGGAACATTTGATAGATTTCTTTTGTTGTTGTTGTTTTGGTTTTTGGCCACATCCACAATGCTCAGGGGTTACTCCTGGCTCTGCACTCTGGAATTACTCCTGGTGGTGCTCGGGGGACTGTAAGGGAAGCAGGGGATCGAACAAGGGTCAGCCATGTACAAGCTAGCACCCTACCCACTGTACTATCTAGCCCTCAGATTTTTGATGTTCTTCATTTAAATTGCCTTTAGATTTTGTGAGTATACTTATGAATTTGTAATACATATTTCTTGTCCTGTGTTGGTTTATTTCAGTGGTCAAGGAAGTTTACTCCAGCCATTTATATACTATAGATTTCTTACTCTTCGGTATTCCTCGAGAAGAAATCCTTATTGTCGGTAAGCTGATTGGTTTAGTCTTGTTTTACTTGTCAGATATGTTGTGAGGTGAGATATGGTTTGGTGAGGAGATGGATGTATTTTTCAGAAACTGGTGAGACTCAAATTAACCAACTCTAAAACAGTATCAGAAATTTCAAGAAATTTAAAACTGTGTGGGAAACTTTTCTAGTTGTAAAAACAAAGCACATGTGAGATAATAAAAGAGTAGAGCCCATGATGCTTTATTAACAAGGTGAGAATTGGTCAGTGATAGAGAACCATGTGCAAAGTATATGCTCCAGCTCTTTGAGCCTCAAGTGTTTGATTTATTTGGTATGAATCCATAGGAGTATGAAGATGTAAGAACCAGGAAAGGTTCAAAATAGAGTTTTAACATGATTTGGAAGGGTTAAAACCTTTAAGACAGGTTTATTATAAAAACCTTTATTATAATAAGGGGGAAAATGGTTTATTTTCAATTTTTTAATTATCTTTGGTTTCGGGCCACACCTGACTGTGCTCAGGGCTTTTCCCTGACTATAGTCAGGGATCACTTTTGGTGGGGCTTGGGAGACCATATGGGGCACTGGGGATTGAACCCAGGTCATCCGCTTGCAGGGCAAACACCCTGCCCACTGCATTCCTCGGGCCCCGGGAAATCCGGTTTAGATTAGAGGAATACAGAAATATGAGTCATATTAACGGGGCATCGAGGGGCTAGCACTGAGGGTTGGAGTGCAGGCCTGGGTCTTGTTTTGGTCCCTGGCACCCAGTGACATCCCATTCCTAAGCAATGCTGATTGTGGCTTGGTGGCCCCCCGCATCACTATACTCAAGCAGCATCTTGCCCTCGGTGACTGGCCCCAGCACTGACCCATCAGGCCTGTGCAGCCTGGCTGAATAAGACGCGGGTGGCCCTGGGCTCATCTGAGCACTATTTGGGTGTTTCCCAATCCCAAGTACGTTGGGTGACATCATGTGTGACTCTAATGGAGATTTTAAATGATGAGTGGTTGGAGCTAAGATTACAAAGGCATATTGGAACCATAGAAAACATTTTTTGAGTTTTTAGGTAAGAAGTTGCTATCTTTTAGATAAAGATTTGGCAGAATTTTCTCAGATTATTTATACCCTTTTCTTCGCCACACATTTCTTCATATATCCTCAGACTATACGAGAAACGTAGATATGTTCAGATGAATGGATAAAAGGAACAACAGTAAGTCAAGGTTATACAAATATGTGCTAATATAGGTCTTCAATGAAGAGCACACATTTCACTCAAAACCAAGAAAAGCCATTGAAAGTACATTAGTCTCACTAATATAATGGAATACTAATGTATATGGTAGCGTTCTTATTGTATTTCCTGTACTGTTAAAGGAGATAGCTTTATCTCCATTTTATACCACTTACACCCATCATTATATTTATTCTCATGTTTCTTACTATCATTCCCTCGAGATTGCCTATTGTCGGTGACCTGACCTGTCCTCCCAGTACTGTGGCCACTGGCCACACATATCTGTTTGGATTAATCACAGCACATGAAATTAAAGCCTTGGTTCTGAGTCTTCCTAACCACCTTCCCTCCACCTCCAAAATAAAATAAATTTCTGTTGTTGGCTTGCTTCAAAGGAACTCTGATTTGTTCTTGATTATACCATAATCTAGAAGTGTTGGAGCTTATTCTCTTAAGAGAATAAGCCATAAAACTTCAGACAGGCCCTTGGCCTCGTCGGGTCTCATCCGTTCCCTGAGGATGTTTGATGAGGATGCTTTTCATTTGGGTGCCAGGATTCAACTTGGACATTATAGAGTTTTTTATTTTATATTTCTGAAATAAAATATTCTATCTTGCAGGACTTTGTTTAATGAACTACGGATTGTTGTTGAACATATAATAATGAAACCTGCTTGCCCCCTGTTTGTGAGAAGACTTTGTCTCCAGAGCATTGCCTTTATAAGCAGACTGGCTCCAACAGTTGCGTAGTTTGATATCCAGCTAAGTTATCTATAATCTTAGCATTCTTAGCAGCTGGTACTTCTGTTAGGGATTGTTAATTCCAAATGTAACACTGACCTCAATCTAATTTACATAATTCACATAAATGCATCTCAATGGAAATCATGTACCTGGCATGTTAAATCAAGCCTTCTGAAAAAAGTTCCCGAGAAAAAGTTTTCTGTGCTCTGTTGTTAATGATTAAGGAAGTTTGTATATTATGATCATTGTATCAAAAATTTTTAGATGCTGCTGTGCCTTTATCATGAAGTACATTTATTTCTCTTGTGGAGCTCTAAAATTTATTTAGACCTAATTGGTAATCTGAATTTATATCTGGCCTGAGTTCATTACGGTGATATTAAAACATAGATGAATTCAGTATATTTTGAGACAGTATTTTGCCATTCAGTAATTTTAGTTGATGATTTTGACACTGTATTTAATTTCAAATTATTTAAAGTGATTTTGTGCTGCTTTGTTGGGACAAGTTTATTTTGGATGTACTGTTTTCAGGAATTTTCTCTGTGTCTTAGGCTGTGACCTTGCAAAATTTTGTTTCCATCATTTTTTCTGTGACTTTTTTAAAAAATTTTAAGCTTATTAGCCAGTAGGTTAATATTTGGGGTCACCTACCCATTTTACATCAGAAAGCAGTAGTCATACAGCTTGCTTTCAGAGACGCATTGAGTAAGTGAAATTTCTCAAATACGAAACTCTTTTCCTAGGTTGTTAGTATTATTTTAAGTTATAGAGTTACCTACATAAGATTCTTGACTGCCAATTTTCTTGGTTTCTTAGGCTTGACTTTTCATAGACAAATGCAGCAGTTCAGATGCCTTTGAAAGGAATGTAGCTGAAGATTGAGCATGTGAACTATACTTGGTTTCTGTTCAGAAATAATAATGAAGATTATCCTATAAATTACATATTTACCCATCAAATTTGATTTAAAAGGTTAGATCAAAAGGTAATGATTAAGAAGGATGCTGGAGAAGAGGTTGGGGTAAAGTGTGCATTTTAGTTTCGTAAAACATAGATAATTTTGATGGAATTAGGTTTATTATGCAACTGTGATTTGAGTTGTAGAAGATGTTAAATTGTTTGTTGAGCTTCCATATATTTCTTTATAAATTCACTCTGATCTTCATTATCGTTGCATGATTGAAAATGTTTAAAACATGCAAAAGTTTTAGTATAATGTAATGGTTTTTGTGACCAATTTTCTTCTGTCTGCATGTAATATGGATTTCTCCAATACACACACTACTAACTTACCAATAACATTAGTTTTCCTTCATTCAACTCCCAGTCTATAAAAATGTGATCTGCCTTGATAACTCAACTGTAACCATCTATTTTTGTATTTTTGTAATATTTATCTACTAAGTTAGAGAAATTGCTTCTTACCATTTAGTTGATGTGTGTATGTATGTGTGTGTGGGCTAGCCACATTTTCACTCTATGTGTGTTCTGATGGTTTTAAGAACTAAATTTTTTAGAGCAATAAAGTAACTATAATGTTAAGTAACCAGTATATTATTGATTTCTAGTGATGTTTTTAAAAATTAAGTGTTATATTACGAAAAATTGGCAGCTGAAATATTTTTTAAGTTAGTAGGTTTTTTTTGTTTCCTCCCATTTTTCCCCCTAAAACTTGAGATAATTTTAAAATGTATAAAAAAAAGCTGCAAAACTAGTACAGAGATTCCTGTGTGTTTCTGTGTGCTCTTTACTCTGTAGTCTTACTCAGCTTCATGTATGACAGTTAATATCTTACATAACTATACAACGTTTATCAAATTGGAGGAACTAACTCTGGAATGAAACTATTAACTAAAGTATAGAGTTTACTCAGATTTCACCAGTTTTTCCATATTTTAGAATCCTTTTTTGTATGCTTTGTTTTTACCATAATTGTCGTATACTTTTATTGATGTATAACTATGCCTCTTTGAATTTTTCCTCCTATTTTGAAAATTACAATCAAAAACATTTTCTTAAATAATTTGTCTTAACACAAAGAATTTTATTAAAGCTATTATAATTTAAGCACCCTGTTTTTGAAAGTTGAGGCTTTTAATCACATAACATTTGTCTATTACTGATATACCTGTGTTTATTCTTTAAAGAGGCTTGGTTTGAACTTTTTCATGGCTTTAAACTCATGAAAAAATACACTTTAAAATTGGAGCATTATTAGATGATGTTTGCATGAATTTGTAGGTAGAAATTCTGCAAAATGAGTATGTTCAATATACTAATTGATTTGACATCTGAAATTACAGTTTAGCATGCACAGCTGTCACATGAAAATTTAGGAAATAAAATCGCAGAATTAATGCAGAAGAAATTAATATAACTGCATAACTCAACTTATTTTCATTTGCAGGGTAAAAAATTAAGTTGATTTAACATCCAGAATATCTGATTCTTCAGGAAGCGGTAGAGTGCTATTGGTGTTCTAGCACTTTTAGATTTGATGATAAGATAGACATTAAACCCTCTTCGATAGATGGAAACCACATTCAAAATCTAATTGCTCTAACAAGGATTCTGTTTCTTTTATGTACTTGATTCTTCACAAGTTAAACTTTGATTTAATATGAGTAGAGAAAGTTAACAATTTATATTTAATTTTTTTGGAAATAAAGTTTGTTGGTAGTTTCTTTTGGAAATAAGCAAGAAAAATTTTTTAAAATTAAATTTAGAAAGAAGCCTCAGAGATAGTACAGTAGATAAGGTCTTGCCATGCATGTGGCCGATCTGTTATTAAATCCCCAGCATCCCATATGGTCCCCTGAGCACTTCCAAGAGTGAGTGCAGAACCAGAAATAACTCCTGAGCATCATTGAATGTGGCCCTAGAGCTCCCCACTCCCCCCATTAAGATCTTAAGGAAACCCTTATAGAGAAAATCAGCTTGCAACTATCAAAGAAGTTATAAAAGTTAAAATTGGGGCTGGAATGATAGTACAGTGGGTAGGGCGTTTGCCTTGCACCTGTCCTGGGTTTGATTCCCAGCATCCCATATGGTTCCCTGAGCACCACCAGGACTAATTCCTGAGAGCAAAAGCCAGGAGTAATCCCTGTGTATCGCCGGTGTGACCCTAAAGACCAAAAATAATAATAATAATAATAAGTTAAAGTTATCAAAATTCTTTCTTCTGGGATAAATGAACCCAGGTTAGCTTTCCAAGTTTAGGATATGAGTAGTGTTCATCTTAATATTAAAAGTCAAAATATATGCAACAAGTAGAATGAGAGATGTTGTTTTTTTTAAGTTTGCGATCAGAATGAATGAAATTAAGCTTTTGTTTGTTCTTGGGCCACACCTGGCTGTGCTCAGGGTATCCAGTTCTGGCCCATTGCTTAGGAGACCATGAAGTGCTGGGAATCTTAAGACTTGTTTGCTAAGAATGCACTCTGATCCCTGAATGAATTTTAATTTGGAAGGATTGTGACAAAAATTCTTATTTAATGCTAAGAGGTTTTTTCTGATCATTATAGTTTTCTGAAGTTCCTCCCACAGATCCCCTTAGGATCTGTGAGAATCAAAACTATGACCCCCGTTTAGACTACTTTTGATACTTGTCCTCAAGACCTCCAGGGAGAAAGTAAACAGGGGTAGTTTCATTCCTGATGTGTACTCCACAAGTAGTACCCCACCCTGGGTTTTTACATGCCATGTTGGAAAATGAAGCACTCAGAAGTGCTGAGTTAGCTATCAGCTAAGCATCTGAATTCCATGATGCTCTTTAGGCATTTCCTTTGAATACGTTTTTTAAAATAAGAAAATGTTCCAAAGCTGAAAGATGCAGCCTGTTAATAACTGCTTTCAAGTAAGCAGTGTGCAGTAGACCACTGTTGGGAGTGACATCATTCAGGTCATGATCTTCCAGGTGTTGCCTTTTTATTGCAAGTGCCTATGCCTCCATCCCTCGAGCATACCAGATAGTAAAACTGTCTTTCGTTTTCAGGTGTGTACGAAAGTGGTACTTAGAAAAAAAAAATTACGGTCATTATAGGTCTAGTTTGCTTCAGCATCTTGAATTTTGGGCTATAATGTCAGGAATAATACCCAGATTTGAACGTTTAGCACAAGGTGCAGAGATAACTAACACTTCACAGTTATATTTCTAGGCATAGGAGAGTGTTCTCAGAGACTCTCAGGTAGTAATGCGCAATAGACAGTAAATACCAAAGTCATGCATTTCCGAGTCCAAGAGTTTCCAGACTCTTCCAAAGCAGTCACCTAAGGATCTGAGTGGAAAGCTGCTGAACCAAGGAGCTGCTCAATGTTTGAGAGGATTCCTGGGAGTAGTAATTCTAGGACATGTTTTTCTTTCCAAGGGATATTAAGGTGGGTTCTGAGAAGTAACTTGGTGTCCTGTGGGCACATTTACCCTCTCTTCTTAGGAGAAAATTTATATTTCAAATTATAAAATAAGTCGAAAAATTTTATAAAATAAAATCCAAGACTGGCTTGCAGTGCACTTGAGATTATCTGTGTGATGAGAAACATGTACAGTATTGTTTAATTAAAAAGCAGTTTTTTTTTCTTAGAAAATGTTAGGGAGAAAAATGATTGCTATCTTTCCTAGAATATCAAAGTTCGCTTATAATCCGGGAGATAAATGGGCCCAAGAGTTTGTTTTTCCTTCCTTTCCTAGCTTTCTGAAGCTATTCTTGTTTTAATGTACTTGGTACTTTTACACTAACTTTTTTTCTTGATTTATAACAGTTTGATTCCAAACTTTGACTATTTTCTTTTGTAGTTACAAAACAGCACAAATGTTTTTAAATGTGAAATTTTGCCTTCATACTGATTAAGACCAAACGGGCAGTCTTGGGTAGGTAACATCTGTTACCCATGTGCGCGTGCGTGCATGCGTGCGTGCGCGCGCCGCGCACACGTATTGTGTTGGAGCAAGTGTAAGAGGGTTGCAAATTTAGGAGGAGTCATAAAACTGCTTGATTTATAAATGCATTACTTCTGGTGCTTTATATAATGGGATATATTGAACTAAAGAATTTGTATATACAGTATGTCAGCATTTCTTAGGAACGTCTCCTTAATCCATTTTTAATATCTAATACTGTGCAGGTTGGGGAGTTACACTCTTCAAAAAAGCCAGTACTATCTGGACTATATAAATTTATAAAATAAATTGAAAAATTCATCATTCCCTAGTATTCAGACCAAAGCACATAAATGCTAATGTAAGGCTCAGAGGGGAAATATATTTCTCCTGGATGTTTGAGAAAATGTGAAGTCCTTTCAAGAAAATCTAATAAACATAATAATCATAGCCTGCTGACACTAAGGAAAAAGGGCTTCATTCGCTCTTTCTTTTATGCAGCGATTTACTGGTCCCTACTGATTTCCAAATTGGATCACTGTAGTAAATTATCTATGCCGGTACCTGTGAAAGTAAGCCCTGAGATCCATATTTGTTTTGTGTTCTGCTTAAATCAGCAAGAATGATAAATTTGATGGTGTGAAATTGGAAGTGTCAAGGGCTTTCGTTGGTGATTGAGCAAAATAATGTTGTCACTTGTAATTTATTGTGACCCTTTTTCCACTGTATGTGCTTTGTATATTTAATATTTATTTCAATACAAATTAAATTGTTCCTTCATCTGTATTGTTATATCTGAGATTTTATTGATGTAAAAATCAAAATGAGTAATAAGATCTTTAAATTTGAGCAGATTCTAAAATGTTACATTGCGAGAAATAGAATTCAGTATTCCATTTTATTTTATTGTTAAGAGTAAGGTGAATTTGAATGTATCCATTGTTCTCAACTCATCACATGTTAATAAAAATGGCGCCATCTTGTAGTCTAGTATAAAACAACAGCAACAAAAAATGTGATCTAAGATGAGACTAGGGGAAAAAATTACACCACATCTTACAGATGTTTGTTTCCTTGCTTCTGTACTTGTGTTGGGTGAAATGTATAGCCCAATGGCTGAGAGCTTTATTACTCAAAAAATTATTTATAGCCAAAGTTAACATGAGGTAGCATCAAGGAATGTGTTTTCCTTCTTGGTGTTTAGAGTTGGCAGTATGTCCTGTGACAGTTTTAACCACCGATGGTAAGCAAAACGCTCCACAAGCAACTTAAATCTCTTTCCACTTTAGGTTACCACCTAAGAGACATGATAGAAATCCGTTGTGTAAATGCAATTCTGATAAACAACGGTAGGGATAGATCCTATAACTTGATCTTAGCGGGAAGACTGAGAAGCAGTAATAAATAATGGAGTAGTAAATGAATTGTCCAAATAAGAGGAAAAGTATATGACAGCCCAGTACATCTTAAAAGTATCAAGAAAATTGATTTCCTGAAGATTAATGGTGTAAAGTCTAAATGACATACATGTTACTGATTCATAATGCTCTTTAGCATGTGAGAATATGTGGAACTGTTTATGAAATCATATTTGTATTTTGGGAAAGGAAGGACCATCACTTCAGTCTTAGGGAATAATCAGGCAGACGATTGTCAAACTTTTTAAAAAGTTTTAATATGGTGAGTATTGAGCATAAAAATAGAAGAGTATATTGAAT